AAAGCTAGAAAGCTGAAGTTTTAAGGGGATGTTCTCCGTCCACGTAGAACTTAATGGCTTCAAATTGAGCTCCAGGTGTAGTATTTCTAGCGTATGAGCCCGTAAAAGTTTTTGGCGAGTAAGTTGCTAACTCAAAAACCAGACAAGCTAGAAATTTGAAATTTAGTTTTTTCTGACAACAGTGGCGGCCAGTTTAATTCTTTTTGCTAGAAGCAGCTGCCGGGAAAACAGGGCCGTTAGTGACAAAACCCTGCAGGGAAACTGTCCAAAAAACGCACCTTCGCACCGGCAGTCGGTACGCTGGCCAATTATTAATTTTGCTTTCCTTTTTTACAACCTAATTTGAAAGCTCGCAGAAGCGCTTTTGTGATCAACTAGATTTCACATTTCTCAGAACAAACACTGCATTTTTTTCGTCTGAGATTCTCCATCATCCACCACTGCTAATTAACGCCCTAAAGTCATGCAGGCTGTTGTTTTGCGTTCATCCTGTTCCTTTCTCTTCTGCAAGCTTCCTCCAATTCGTGTAGTACTAACTTTATCACAGTTTTGTAGATAACATCCATATTATCCGTATATCTTTCACCCAGTATCAATTTCACTGCATACAGGAATGGTTCTTCCATCGCCTGAAAAACGGAGAAAATTTTATTTAATCAGCGTGAGAAAATACAATTATCGAGAGACTACTGCACAAAAATAGATGATACCAAAAAAAAAAATTTTTTTTATTGACTTAGTGGGATGTTTGGAAAAACTGACAAAAGATTAGAAATCCCTTGACAAAAAACAGATCTTGACGCGTTGAATTTTCTCCGCAAATACTGGAAAAAGCATTTGTACAATTAAGAATTTTTGTTTGAAAAACATTACCCAAAACATCTCAGGCTTGAAAAATTTCTTGCGAGCGTGATCGTTCGCAGTCTGTTCTAACATTTCAAAAAATTTATCATCATTTTCGATGCACCTGAAAAAAACTTCACCAAAATGAATTTAGTAAATATAACAATGTTCAAAAATTTTAACGGTTTGCCCAGAGGCGCTCTGCTAACTTTTGTCTGCTTCTCCCTAGGAATTTAAATAAGCAGGAATTTAACGCTCTGATGCGCCCTAAGGTGTGGCAGAAGTGCTATTGGAACCTTTACTTAAGCATGTGATTGCTCAAATGGACGACGAATATTTTGGCAAAATTAAAGCTGCTGCTTTCCGGCTAGTTTTCGATTTGGCACGGTGCTAACTGTAATCTTTGATGTGATTGTACGCGCGAAACAAGCATGCGCAGCCGCTGAATTTAAAACCTTTAACTCACACATAGATAAATAATTGGACAGCGCACGGGATGCCCGTGCGAAGATGCGATTTTTGCATAGTTCCCCACAGTTTTTGTCGCTACCGGCATCGGTTTTTTCGGCAAATGCTTCTAGCTAAACAAATTAAGACTATCCGCCAGAACTGGCAGGAAACACCCCCTTAAAATTTGAGCTTTCTAGTTTTCCTGACCCCTGAGTTAGCAATTTACTGGGAAAAAAACTTTTACGGGCCCGCACATGGGTACCACGCATACCCGATATCTGGGTTTGAGCTCGTTGAGACTTACTTAGACGGGGAACATCCTCTTAAAACAACAGTCTTTTAGCTTTTCAGGTTCTCGAGCTATGAACTTACCCGAAAAAAACTTTGGTGAACCCGTGCGTAGGTACCACGCAAACCCGATGGCTGGGTTTGAGCTCTTTGAGACTAATGTGGATGGGGAACGTCGACTTAATATTACAGTCTTCTAGTTTTTCAGGTTCTTGAGTTATCAACATACTCGAAAAAAATTCCACGGGCACTTACGCGGGTACCACGCTTACCCGGGGGATGGGTTTCAATGCATTAACACCCACTTGGACGGAGAACACCCCTTAAGATTTCAGCGTTCTAGCTTCTCTGACCCCCCGACTTATGAAATTGCCCGAAAAAATTTTGGTGGGCCCGTACACAGGTATCACGGGGGTAATGGCGCCCATTTTGGGGATTGGGGCCCGCACGTGCATGTAGATTAAGTTCCCGAAATTTCAGCCCTGCACCTTTTATAGGTCTTGAGATGAAAGTGCGTGACAGACGCACACACAGACACACGGACACACAGACAA